TGAGGCAGAGCAGAAAAGCGTGTGGAGGGGTTGTGCAAGATGCACATATGGCTGTGGCAGGACCTCTGCACCGCTGTGGTTTCATCCTCCCACGTGTGCAGAGGGGAAATGCAGCCTCAGTTTCCACTGCGTTTTGCTGGGGCCCCAGGCCAAGCAGTTGGATGCTTGGTGCCTGACACTGCTAAAACCCTTTCCTATCTTTAATGTCAATTATTATTTCCTCTTTGTCCACAGACACGAGCACACAGGCCAGTAAAACAAATTAATTAATTGTGTTCCAAGCAAAACTATCAGGGATAAGGTGAGCTGCTAGCTGGGGTGACTAACGGGAGTGTTGTGGGAAGGTGAGCACCAGCCCCAAGGAGCCTGGTGGGCCCTGGACACAGCCTGGGGGACAAGAGGGGAGCCTGAGCCTCTCTTTCCAGAGGAAGATGTAGAATTGTTCCTTTTATGTGCTTTCCAGTGTAGAAAAGTCTGATGTGGGGTTTTTAAGTCACTCTGCCGTAGATTAGTGCATGCACTCACTACCTACTGACTTTACTCTGGCTATCAGAAAATCTGTGATGTTTCATCACTCGTCTTTCCCCCAAGCACCTGGCAAAGCCACCTGGAGGATTTTTTCCCCTTAGTTGTCTCTGGAAGTAGGAGGGACCAACACGGGCAGGTACAAAATCCCTTGGGTGTTTTTGTGGTGCCATTCACCTCCTGCCTTGATGAGCACCTCCTCCCTCAGTCACAGGAGCTGCTTGTCCCTGGGGATGTGCCTTCACTGGCTATCCCACTTCTTCTTGGGGCAATAGCGTTTGGAGGCAGCCTGGGGTGCTCTGATCAACCCAGACAAGAGTCAGGGCCATTACCTTCTGCTGAGGCCAGTTCTGCTGCAAACCATCCTCCCTTTCCCTTCTGCTGCTGCAGCAGCTCTAGAGCAGCCTGGCTTTGGCAACAGGGAGAGAGCTGAGCTTTGGGCTCCTGGCAGCAGCAGGACCAGCACGTTAGGAACTAATGTACAGGGTTGATTTTTATTTTGGTAAGTTAAACAAATTCTGCCAGTCCCACATCAACCTCTCATCACTTGATAATTCAGGCATTACCTGTTTCCTGCAGCAAGTAAAGAAATTAATTTTTAAAGGAGTCAATGGGTTTCACAGCACTGGATGGGAAAGTGAGGGATGGTGCTGGCAGCTCCAGCTTGTGGTTTCTGTAGGAACCACTGAGTAATGCTTATGTCTCCTGCATGGTGACATGGCATTGTGTTAGAGGAGCCACCTGCCTGGCAGAGCAGGAGGTGGTTAAAGGTCCTGCACAAAGGCTTTTCCAGATTATGCAACCATATAGGACAGCCCGAAGGTGGAGCAGCAGTGAGGTTACGGCATTATGCAAATCTGGCTGTAACATGAATTTCTGCTGACAAGCCCTCCCTGGTGAACAAACAGGTGTGTGTTGTCAGCAGTGCCAGCCCTGCAGTTGCTATCTCTGCCCAAGACTCTCCTAGCACTTGAAGTGTGGCTCTGCTTTGGGCAAATTCACTGGCAGTGCAGACCTGCAGTCAGGACTGGGATAGAGAAATGGGTCAAGAGGTTTGAAAATACTGTCCTAAGTCAACTCATGCTGTGTGGTGACTTGGCTCCATGGTTTCTGGTGAGCTCCCTGCATGGGGAGAGTCTCATCCTCTTCCACTGTGCTGGTGTTAAACCCTGGTTTGGGGATGTGTCAGCCCATCCCTGCTCTGTGGCTTTGAGGTCCTGTGGCAGTGAGGATGGAGAGGGGCAGCCTTCAGAGTACACAGGAGGCAACAGCCACTTGCAATCAAGAGTAGGATTAACTCAATCCAAGACTTTCCATTCTTCACTTGTGTCCTTGCTCTTTCTTTTCACTCTATTTGGCCTGAATTGCCGATGTCATCCAACTTCTGGCAGCACCAAAGCTGAAAGTCAGACCCTTATTCCATGTGGTCTAGTGTTGAGCAGTGGCTTATCAAATGACAGCTGACCAAAAAAAAATCCTCTTCCTGTTTTAGCTACTCACATTTAGTGGTTGTATTAATGTTCTACTCTCCTGTGGTTATCAGTGGAAATGGTTAGGATAAATGTGGAATTTGAGATTATTTTAGAGATGAAGCATCAGAAACAAGCTTCAGTTTTACCTTTTATGGATGCTAAATATGAGCAAAAGCAGGGAGCACAGTTCCTGTGGAAAAGCAGGCCACATAACTCTCTGAGTCTCGCTTGAGAAAGTGGCCTGAGAAATCATAAGGAGGAATTAAAACAATCCTCAGAGATAGAAGACAGCCTTGCAGGTGCTGTTTGTCAGTTTCTTGTTTTCTTGCAAGAGAAGGTCAAGGGGTGGTGTACACCACTGACTAGTGATGGTGATGTGTTAGTTCACTGACCAGTAAGAGTTTTACCTTTCTGTACTTTCGTGTATCGGTCTATAAAAGAAGATCTGAGGTAATAAACCTCGGTCTCCTGATCAACTCACAGGAGAGACTGTGTCGTGCGTCTTGCCCTTCCCAATAAAGCGACAACCTTTATCCCAGTTTTACCTTTATCCCAGAATCTCATTAGATTCTCCTTTTGGCAAATGATTGTTAGAAGTGAATTGAAGCCAGAAACAAGTGCCCAATCTGCACACTTCTTCCCCCATAATGCAGTACCTGTGTGGTGCAGGCAAAGCAGCAGGCTGCAGACTGCCCTTCAAACTTTTAAAACTAATTTCAGATTCTTTATTGGAAAAAAAAAATCACAGCATCTCAACTGTTATTCAAACACATTTAATAAACAAAGAGAAACAGTAGCAAAGGGCACTGACACATGACAAACTGTACAAAACCTCTGGGTAGGAGCCCACGGCCTGGCTGCTCCGGCCCCTGCCCCGCAGCCAACCAGGCTCCCTTCGCCTCAGCCCTCTCAGTCACCCCTGAGAAAAATCAGTTTTTAAAAATGTGCAGAAACAAAGACACTTCAAGAGGTTATTTCCAGTCTTGCCATAATGGAACAATTTAGGCCACTGCAAAAGTTTTTAAAAAAACCAAAGTGTCATACGCTCCATTCCCAGGATTAATGCTTTAAAGTGAACCCCTTCCCAAGAGGCATAAGCACTCTTGGACAGCCAGTAGATCTACCCCTGCTCTCCTACTCTACTCACAACTTACTACACTTTTTTAGAGTGAACGGGACAAATTTCATCCTAATTCAGCACTGATTTTGATATAGTTGTGACTGAGTGAAAGGCAATGGAAGGAAAAGCCTGTTTGAGCATAGAAGGGATGCAACTGGTGCATAATGCTGAGACTAGCCCTGTCTCAGGGTAAAGGTGACCTAGCACAGTCAGGGAAGGAGAAATCCTTCACTGGGAATGTACCTGCTCTGGATGGATTTCATGCCTGGTCCTAAATACCACACAAAAACTTGAGCATCCAGTACCAACGATTTGTTTTCTACCATAAACTTGTTCTGCTTAACTTCAAAGGACCCTGCAATGGAACCCAAAGGTCCATGGTCCCCTGGCACGTCCTCACTGCCAAAAGCATTGCAAAAGGGAAAACCAAGATGCAACTCTGATCATTCTTGTGCTCATCAGTTAGGCAGCTGTGCCATTCACCTGCTAATGGTCACTTTTAGGCTCTCTGTGGTTCAGAGGGGAGAGCAATGGCATCACTGCATCAGGCAACCCTCCAGGGGGCTTCACCATGTGCGGCGTTTTTGGTGATGCAAAAAAAAGCCAGGGAAGTGTTATTCTTATCTACTTGAGCTGTATTGGACAGAAGTCTCTCTCCAGCCAGGGTTGCTTTGAGCTCCATGGTTTAACAAGGTGCTCAGCTGGCATCAGTGTGACAAACACAGCCTGATCAGTTCATGTTGCCTTTAGTTCGATATTTCTCGACCAGTTGCCAAAAACTCCCTCCTCTGAGGAAGTGGAATAAGACAAATGAGAGTATTAAAGGGCTTTTCAGGCTGCTAACTTGCATACGTGTGTTCCTTGATTTCTTAGCTGTGAGCACAGACAGTGGCTGAGGCTTCAGGATACGGACAGAGGAGGGAGATCTGTACACATCACAGTGTTGTTCAGGCCCAGCCAAGGTGGGTAGTCTGATCACACCAACACCAGCTCACCACGTTATAAACAGGGCAGATGGAGGGAAGCAGAGCTGGGATTTTCAGTGTGATGGAAAGCCAGCTGTGATTCAACAGCCTGTCACTACACAACGTGAATTCAAAGACATTTGGCACAGTCTGTTGTTACCAGGACTAATCTAGCACAGACAGTTAACCAGTCTGTCTTGAGAATGAGGCAAAGGCTCCACTGGAGAAGGTACACTGGCAAAGCAGGGTGGAGGACAGGCAAGAAGATGTGCAGAAGGACTGGAGAGAGGCATAGCACAGCGGTGCCACTCAGTGTCTTTACTGCACATCTTGGTCACTGAACTGGTTGTTGGACTGTGGTAGGACCCTCTCAGCAACAAGTGGTTAAGATAGAAAACCTGCCTAATTCTGTGTAAAAACTTTCAGGAGAACATGGGTAGCTGAAGCCCTCCAGAAAGGAGCCCAACCCCTCAGTCCAGGTGAGGAATTTTCTGGTAGCTTATTGAGAAACACCTGCTCTGAGCTTGTCAATGTCTGAATTCCAGCATCTCTGAAGCTTTGCTGTAATGTCAGTTTGGGACTTGACTGAAAATGACCCAAGTGCCTGGACACTCAGGCTACAAAGAACAAAGCCAGGATGAAAGGGGAGAAACATGCAGCAAATTCCTATGAAATTCCGTTTACCAGACTAGGAGGAACATGCCCTTGTTTAGGGGTGGCACAGAATAACAGAGGGGAACCAGTGACTGCATTTTGGCTAAGATAGAATTCAAGAGAGGCACAAACGAACATTTTGCACATCCATCCAAGGCATTCCAAAAAAAAAAAAAAAAAAAAAAAGAAAAAAAAACCAAAAAAGTTGAAACATCACTTTGGAAAAAA